AAGGAGTTCTTGTGGCTCAGCAGTTAAGGAGTTACACTGCCAACAGAAAGGAACACAGTTTGACTCCACCAGCCGCTCCGCATTAGAAAGGTGGGCAATCTCCTCCTGTGTGGTAACACTAAAATAACACTGGAGGGTCAGCTATAAGTAGGTTTCAACTTGATAGTCGGTAACATGAAAGCTTTAGGTGCTCTGATGTAGGATATTGTTTTAACCTAAAAGTCCATCCCTCCAGAGCCCACCAACTGCTTAAAGGGAAAGGGCTAGGAAATCTCCTCCCATTAAGATTGACAGCTTTGGAACTGAAGGAAGATTGCAGTGAGTCAAACTGACTAAAGAGCAGTGAGTTAAGTTATGGTGTGAGAACTCCAACACAGGAGCAGCACCATCACTTGACCCAAGCCTGTGGGCATGCAGCTGAATCCAACCAGGCACAATGTTCGGTAGATTCTGCAAAAGCAGCCTGCATACCTAGCCACATGAGGCACTCCCCTCATGGGTCCAAGTCTCTGGAGGACCTTCCAGCGAACCACTGTACCCAAGACACATGGAGGAGCTGGGGAACTGAACCAAGTAGATGCTGATATTAGATATCATGGACTTACACAGCAGGTTAAGCATTTGGCACTACGCTGACTCAAGACTTCTCATAACTAGTCTGCTACTAATTGCAGTAGAGCAAATAATAAAGACAGGGGCCAAACTGAAGGATTACCAAAAGGCTGAGGTTTAGCTTCTAAAGTAAATCCTTTAAAACATTCCCCCTCTCCAAACCAACTTTAAAATTAGCTTTTGCAGCAGATAAAAGCAATTTTGCAAAAGCTTATTAGGAACAAGATTCCCTTTTCTATCTGCAGGTGTAGTACATAGGGAGCTGTGGTGCCAGCTCAAAGGATGTCCCTCTCTGGCAGGTTGAATCCACCAGCAGCTCCTTGGAGGAGATGGACAATCTCCTCCCATGTGACTAACAGCCTCTGAACACCTGTAGTCTGAAGACTCGACAGCACTGAGATTTTTCCTCTTTAGCTATGGCCTAGCATCAGTTTAACATACTCTACACCTGAAGAAAATTATTACCCAAAAGAAATGTGATAAGAACTTTACACAGATTTGATGTGAGGTCAGTTTTCTGTAGCACTCAAATTACATTGGCCCGTTAGTCAGGGAAGGGACATCTACCAAATGCTGCTACCAAAATTAGACTAGAAATACTATTAAATTGATGGCTTATGAATGTCATTTCTTAAAATAGCAAGGAATCCACTTGATATTTTGAGAAAGAGAATGCACCGAAGATGCAATCTGCAAACTTTCCTTTCAAAGGCTCTTCAGAGAGAATTCCAGCGGCCAGTCTGAACCACAGAAGGAAGCTACTGTGAATGGATGAAGTCAAATGGTTGCACAGGCATCTTGGAGGTAAAAAAATACCTTTGGCTAAAATGTATGCTTTGTGATTTGACAAAAGTAAAATGTATAGTTTTGTAGAATATGCGTTTTTGTAAGCATAGTCTGAATTGTCTGCGTCTTGTACATCTAATAGTTTGGAAATGTATCTGTTTGTTGCAGATGATAAAGAAAAGACAAGCCCTAAAGTTAATTTTCATCTTTTCTCCATCTATCATGATTTTGCTTTTTGGTCCAGTAGTTAAGAATCTTTATTTCTTGACACTAAGAATGCAATCCATATTGAAGGCTGCCTTCTTTGACCTTCTCCAACAAGTGGTTTAAGTTCTCCTCACTATTGGCAAGGTTGTGTTATCTTCATAATGTAGGTTATTGAAGAGTCTCCCTCCTATCCTAATGCCGCATTCCTCCTCATAGAGTCCAGCTTCTCAAATAATTTGTATAGCATATAGACTATAATAGGTATGGAGAGAGAATACAACCTTGACACACTCCTTTCTTAATTTTAAACCATGTAGTACTCCTTTGTTCTGTTTCCAGAACACCCTCCTGACCTAGGTATAGGTTTCACATGAGCTCTGGGATTCCCATTCTTCTCAATGTTAGCCATAATTTGTTATAATCCACAGAATCAAATGCCTTTGCTTAGTCAATAAAGCATAAATAGACATTCTCTTGGTATTCTTTATTTTCATTCAGGATATCTGGTGTCACAGCAAAAGACTGAAATTGTCAACAATTTCTAATTTGCTTCCACATTAACACCCTTAGTACCCACAGTAAGGAACTCAGGAGATGTACTGCCCTGGGAAAATCTGCTGTTAGGGACCTCTCCAAATTATTGAGAAGTAATAATGTCAGTTTGAGGACTAAGGTGTGTCAGATTTAGCCCACAGTCTTTCTGATCACTTGCTAGCATCTGAGAGCCAGACAATGCATAAGGATTACAAAAGAACTGATGCCATTGAGCTGCAGTGCTGGAGAATAGACACAGACAGCCAAAGAACAAGTATGTCTTGGAGAGGGTGCAGCCAGAGTGCTTTTTGGAGGCAAATATGACAAGGCTTTGCCTCACATACTTTGGACACATTGCTAAGAGGGGCTACTCCTTGGGGGAAGGACATGATGCTTGGAAAGGCAAAGGGTCAGCAAATGACAGGAAGACCCTCGACCAGGTGGACTGACATGGTGACTGCTGCCGTGGGCTCTAATGTGCCAGGAAGTGTGAGGATGGCACAGGAGAAAACAGAGTTCCGGTCTTTGTTCATAGGGTTGCAATGGATCATACACAACCCATAGCACCTACCAACAAAGTTAATTTTAATTCTGGGAGATCTAAAGCTCTCGAAAGATATATATCCCATAAATCTATTTTCAAGGCTTATTTAATTGGCTTGTGGAGTAGTAAAGTATCTGTAGTCTAATATAAGTAGACTCTTGCTGTCAAAGCGTAAAAAAAACAAAACAACTGGTGTCTTTAAAAAAAAAGGCTGAATGCTAATAATTTAAGAAATATTGAACGGACAGCAAACAATTAATTTGAGAATGACTAAAGGGTAAGGACAGTGTTCTTGGCAAATACTCATCTCTTCCAATAGCTATTAAAAACTGGCTGTTGGACAGTAGTGTGGTATGGACATATTCTGGTTTATATCCTGACATAGTGATGCATATGGAGATGATTAGCTTCAGTCATTGTATTTTAGATAAGGCACCTCTTAATGTTTCCATTTTTTTCTAGGTCACTGATGTCTGGGCATCAGAGAATTGAGGCAGAAAATGTGCTTCACAGAAAAGCAAACGAGATCAAAGTGTGGTCCTAAGTCTAGAACACAGAGGAATACAATTGTTTTTCTCAGCGTCTATGTCACAGAGAAACATGGACCACAAAACAAAAACCACCATCTCTCAGTTGATGAACATTTTCTGATTCCTACCTATAAAATAGTACAATGTGGACAATATTAGCCCAAAAGCTGTTTGAACATAAAGTGACAATGTTTACAATACATCTTCACAGGCAGAAACTGAGAATTTAAACAAAAAAGACAGTATAATAAATGAAAAAAGTCACAGACTTTAAATATAACACCTCAAAAGGGTCAAATGGAAATCTGTGATAATGTTAAGAAGGTTAATTCACAAAAGTACAAGTCTTCAGTTTATATGTTTATATGAAAATGGTTTAATAATAGCGAAACTTAAAAATGAATAAAACTAACAAAGTATATTGGGCTAAAATCTACATACTTTCCCAAATCATTGCAAATATCATCAATGCAAAGCTTTTAACCCCTCTATCATATATGCTGTCTGAACCCTACTCATTATTCATATATGAAACATGATACAGTCAAAAGCAGTAGGCATAATAATATACACCATTAGGTCAGATGTAAAAGCATTTTCTTCCTTAAACTTACCTGATGAAGGTATCTGATCAAAAGGCCCAAGTAAGTAATTTTAACAACTGGTTAAGTTTTAGTAGGAGTTTAGAATAAAAAGTACCAAGAGATATATTTTTGTATATTAAGTTAAAACAGAAATATCTTTTACATTTTATTAAATTAGCAAATATATAATCAATCCCCTAGAGTAAACTTGAATTAGCAAAAAATAAAGATGACAAGAAACAGGAAAGGAGAAAAAAAATGCATCTCTAACCAGAATACCATAACAAAAGTTTTGTGGAAGCTGCATTTTATTTGAAAATCCACCCATTTTTGCTAACATACATTTTAATATTGTAAACAAAAATAGAATCTGCAGAGACAATGCAACAAGTATGCTTAAACTCATGTACAGAATTGCTTTCCTACAATGAACTGTCCTTCTTAAAGCCCCTTCCGACCCAAATGTTAAGATGTATTTACAACAAAGCACCGATCAACAGTGCAGTTTAATTCTTCATTAACTAAACTCTTGGCTAGACATTAACTTTAAAGATACTATTTCCCCTTATTTAAAAGGTACATGATCATAACATGGCACAAGCCAAATAAAAGGTTCAAGGATTTTGTCCCCCTTCCCTCCCCCCGTAACACCTCCTAGAGTTTTACTGAAAAGAAGGAAAGTCTTGAAGTGAAAGCAATTCCTCACATTCATTTTGGAAAGGCCCTAATGTCAAATGGAAAATAATGACATGCCAAGCACAAAGCAGTAAAGTTCCTTCCCAATGCACTAATGCTGAATTTAAAATGTAGTGCTTTTCCTAGTCAGTGAACTGTTCCCTTACAAAATCCTAGGCACAGAATTGACTATAAGGATTAATGCATTTATAATGCTTCCCTAATTTCCATAGAGACTGAGAATTCTTAAGAGATTCAGACCCATGGACTTGCTGTAAAATATTTAGTGCTCTGTATGTCAGCTGAAAGCAGTCTGAATCAGATTCATTCTTGTGGCTAAAAATCAAACATACTGTGTACATCCATACTCATTTTCATAAGGAGGTTTGATACAATATTAATGTTACATAAATTGATAATCATAAATAAATACAAATACATAAGGAATGTCTACTGCAAACTGAATATATAATTCTTTTAAAAAGAAAAGTTAGTTTTAGTTACTGTTTCTGGATCTGTGAGAACTGGAGAAAAGAAAGATACTGTATAATTAAGAATTATAATTTTTATCCCCCCCAAAAGAGTCCTGGTGAATTATAGTAAAGGACACAACTCTTCTCTTCAGGCAGCTTTTCCAAATTTCACACTTTGCAAATAAGGTCTTCTCTTGGTAGTTTACTGATTATGGGTATTAATAGAAGTTGAAAGAACTGAAGGGTTAGTCACCAAAAAGACAGATCTTAAGTCTTAAATCATGGCAATTCTTGGCTTTATAAACTGTACTGATACATTCTCCTATAGACTAGTCCCAATTTCCTTCATGGGCCTTCACAAGGTTACTGTAGCATTCTAATGGAAGAGAGTTTAAGAGACAGCAGTTTGGATTTTGCTGGAAGTAAGAATTTGCTGCTTGAGCACTTGTTGTTTTAGAGTAATTCCATCCGATTCCATCTAGTTACATAAACTGTATCTGGGGGGAAAAAATGAGGAGAGTTTACGTTAATTCAATGCACTACAGGATGTCTTCTCATCATTAAAAACCGGTCCAGAACACTAGCCCAGAAGTGTTCACAGCATGCTTATCATATAAACCCTGATTATAAAACAAAATCAGTATTATCTGCTCATCATGTACCAGGACTTAATGTTTGAATATCATAAAGCTTTCTACACACCTTTCCATTTACTAAGAACTGAGCAGTAGGGCATGGAGAAGGAAAGAAAGAAGACAAAGGAGACCGTTTCCTATGACAAGTTCAGAAATAACTTTCCTAAAGCACAGGTATTCCACAGAAAAGTTCATTTGGTAAAGCACAATTTGAAAGAGTATTTCCAAATTGATATAATAATATTAGGAATAAAAAGGGAACAGTAATACTATGCTTGTTAAAATAATTTCCGTCCAAGTATACAGTGTGAAAGATCTATAAAGGAACACTTTTTAGCGGGGTGTTCACTCAAAGATATTACACTCTTGATTTCCCTTATACTGTCCATGAAAAGAAATTACTGAAGTAAATATGTTAATAAACTTGTCAAATCCGCTGAATGCAAACTCTCAAAGGTCTAGAAGATACCTCTAAATTGAGGGAAAGTCTATCAACAAGAATAAACTACAGTATACAGATCATATGCAGGATCCTTCCACTGAAAAGGGAATATTCACCATCCTTTAAAAAAAAGAAAAAAAATGTTTTTTCTTTAAAAAATTACCATTTTTAAAAGGAAAAAACATACATAAAAATATAATCCATTAAAGAAATTCCTGAAGTGAATTCTTCCCAACTAACCCTGGCCACTGTTCTAAACTAAAAGCAATGATATTCCTCATCAAGCTCTTACCCAATGTATAAAAATTGGACTGTTCACATTTTCTTTCAAGAGTGACTAAAACACCCAGTTTTCAAATGTGGTAATTTGATCTCATCGGCTATAAGCAGTGGATGCTTATGTAGAAACATGAAAGATGGTCCCTTGATTTCACACCTTTTAAATGTGTTAACATTGCTGCTTCAGCCTGAAGTTTTTCTTGACTTATTTTTATCATCTAAAATAAAAATCACAAAAAACAAACAAACAAAAAAACCCCCACAAAACCCAAACAGAGGAGGAAGAGAGGGGAATCTCAAGTCCCGTATAGTAACAGAGGAGAAGAATGGATTGGGCTTAATGTATGATGATTTTAAGTATGTAGGACCCCACTGCCCCCAACACGCAGTAATACCTAAAAGTGATTTATAAGAAATCCTCCAAAGAAAGCTCTGCAAAAGGGTCCTTTCCTGAAGCTCTGTGAGGACTGTGACTGGAGGGGCTGGATGCTGCCGACAGCTGGGGGAAAGAAGACAGAGAGAGGGAAAGAAAAAGATCTCAGAATGACAGAACATGAAAGCAGGAAATGTAATGAAAGAAGAAGTGGTTTGGTTTTGTTATCTTTAATATATATAAAGGCAGCCTTTGTAAAAAATGGAATTATTAAAAAAAAACTTCAGTCACATGTCAAGTTAAAGAATCAAATGGCATGTGCTTTTCAGAAAACAAATTCTTGCTTCTGAAATTCCAAAGTAATAAAGTCTTTTCCCAAAAAGGTTGACATAAGTTGACCTATGGAAAAAACTTTATTGTGTGTGCTAGGAGTGGTGGGTGGGTGGGGTGAGGAGGGGAGGAAACGAGGGCACAGTTTTCGTTTTGTTTTGTAACTGAGGAAAGATGGCTTCCTGTGCACAAGCTATCTGTTAAAGGCTGTGTAAACTCTGACCTTGGTCTGGATCCATCATCCCTAACAATTTGTTTCTTTTCTTCTAAGAGGTGGAATGCCTGTCTGTAGAGCTTACTTACACTTTTTTTACATATGGGGTTGCCTCCTGTTTATCTGGACCTAATATAGTTGACTAGTATACTCTTGGATATAAAGGAGTCTTAGGGGTTACTTAAGATTAAACTAATATGTCATACACAGAGAAACTTTACGATTTTTGATTCTGCGACCCCTTTGAATGTATTTGTCTGAGTCTTAGAATGTCTTCCTAGACTTTAGTTTCAATATACTATACAGCAGATGGAGTGCTGACCTCAGTAACACATCTTTCATATTTCCTCAAGACAGCTTCTGAAGTACCTAGATGTTCATTTTCATACACACACACACACTCTCTCTATCTCTATCTCCTTCACCAGACTGACTTATGGATATTTCAAACCAAACACAAGCCATTTGTGTTTGGAATACACTTTTAATTTAGTCTCTCCCCAGGCATAAGACTGTAGAGTCAGGTAAATAAGTAAAGAGCTAGTATAAAATGAGGTGTCCTTTCACCAGGGATGTTCAATCTAGTATTGAAATAGAGTTGATCAAATGGAAACAGTTTCAATTTATATTTTAATATACAAAGTGTATAAGGGATTTCAAGTCCTCAACCTGTCTTTATTAATTCAAAGTGATCTTTCCTCTGGTTTAAAGAAAAGCAAATAGAGAAATAACACTCAATGATTTCGCACAAATAATACCTTTTCAAGATAGCAATTCATTGTTGTGTACACTTAGCTTCATTTACAAGTTTAGAAATCATCTTTAGTTACAGTAATGGTTGAGTCTTTTTTCTAATCCATTTCCTGTTTCAGGAATAAAGGTTCAAAGACAACAGAGGAGATGGTGGGAAGGAGGACAGATACAGGCAGCAACAGATATATGTCTAGGTTTCATATATCTTCTTTCAGATTATGGTGCAACATTAATTAGAAAGACAGTCTTGGCGAGCTCTGGTGGCCTAGTGGCAGGAAACTGCACTGCAATCCCAGAAGTGCACGGTTCAAATCTACCAGATGCTCTGCTGAAGAAGGAGGAACAGTTGCCTCCTGTACCAGTCAGATCCAATTTGACGGTACACGCATAAAAAAAAACACAAACAAAAAAAAACCACAAAAATAAAATTCCCAGAAAGACAGTCTTTCTTCCACCTCCAGTGCAACTGCAGATGGCCATTTTAAAGGTAAATGAGGTCACTGAATTGACGGAGTTGAACAACAGACATTTATCTTAAAGACTGCATTTCTCTCCAAAACAAAAATTTTGTCTTTCACTTGAAGTTAAATAAGAAGAATCTTTGCTTATTGCAGAGAGATCACATGCAAAATCTCATTTTCTCTTGGGAAGTATCTTCTTAAATCACACGTTTTCATGAAGGCAGCAACTACAATATCTGACAAGTCTAGAGTAAAATGGCCCTAAAATGTGGCAAAGAGAAATTTCTCAACATAATGCTAGATAGTAGTCCCAGAGGCATGAACATTGGCAAAGAGAATCAATTTCTCTTTGAGACAAAACCTGTTGGCTTCCAGCAAGTATTTCTTCCAGTCTTTTAAATTAATATATATACACTACACATATACATTTAAGTCTATAAATATGACACAAAATTAAAATATGATAAATAGCTACTTTCAATAAGGTTTAATATGCCTGCAATAACTTCCACATCTTTTCTATTTCAAGCAGATGGAGTTGGCCAACTGGTCTGGCTCAGGGCACTCTAAGGACTAGGTCATTTCAATAGCAACTATAATCATGTGGTTTCAACCTTTTTTCAGCACCGGAACTAAAGCACAGGACAAGTGAGAAAGTAGTTAAAGAAATAAATAGGAAAGAGAAGGAAAAGGAAATATGCTGCAATAATCCAACTATTGCTTAATAAAAGTAAAAGAGCAAAGGACCAAGAAAGAGCAATGAAGTATTGAGAGGAGAGAAAAAACAGGGTTTTTAAGGCCCAGGGAAGTCATCAGAATCTACAAGGGCTCCTTTACTTAACATTCTTGCAAGTAGTTTAAAGAACACAGAGTGTTGTTAACACAGAAAAGGCAAGACTGAAACAATGGAGAATAAACAAACAGCACAACATAAACAACAACAAAAAAATACTACCATCATTAATTGGGGGGAAAAACACTATTTGATAAGCCAGTATAGAACAATCATGATTGATCACTAGGTCAAAACTGACTACAAATATACCACTGATAGAAATCTGTTAACAAAATAAATAAGTCTTAATTTCTTTCTCTGTACCAGGATTCTCAGAGAGCTAAAAGAAAACAGTATCAGTTTTTTTCCAAATTAAACTGATCTATAACACAAATGGAGTTGGCAGGTGAGGTGGCAAATGGATAAATGCTCAACTACTAATCAAAAGGCTGGCAGGTGGAAGGCACCCAGATGCCCCTGGAAAGGCAGGCTTGGTGATGTGCTTCTGGGAGGCCAGAGCCCTGGAAATTCTACAGAGTTCAGCTCCAACATGACCAATAGAAATCTTTGCCTTTATCACATGGGGGCAAAAGAAGGGAGGATAAAAGGTAAACACTAGTAGAGCAAAGGAATTGGGGGGGGGGGAGAATCTATTTTGAACATCCAAAACCAAACTGGCACACAAACTTTATACTCCTATTGAACATTTCAGAAGGAAAATTTCAGATTAGTGTAGGATTAGTCCCAGTTAGTGATGCCAGTATAATTCAAAGCTTAAAAGAGAATAAAAGATTGGATATTTAAGACCAACTTCCAACATACTGGCTTTTCCTAAAATTCTTGGAGAAACATCAACGTTTGCCACATCTTTACATTTTAATTTTTCAGTCCCTCAAAAGGCTAGGCAGAGATGTACGTACACACTTCCCTTTTATAGGGGAATCTGCTTTGAGGAGTAAATAAAAATACATAGAGTCCCTAACAAAGCCTGGCACATATTAGGTCAATCTTCCTCATTATTTACTATCTCAGGTTCACCTATCCTTGTATGACGTTCTCTGGTGACCTAGTAGATAAGGAGTTGCACTGCCAATGCAAAGGCGAATAGTCTGAATCCACCAGCAGCTCTCTGGAGATGGCAGTGGTGGTGATGTGTGTGTGTTTATGAGAGAGAAGGTGGGCAATCTCTTCCTGTATGATTTGCAACCTACGAAAAGTTGATGGAAGGTCAGCTA